GTTCTCCTAGTGGCAAGAGAGTATCTTAGACCATCAATGGATCAATTTTCATGGAGATGTTCTCAGAGACAAGTGTGTGCTGTTCCATCTGGCACAGAAGTGGAGATTTCCATCTTTGGTGCCAGTGGCAATCATTAAGCACTATATGGCCAGCAAGATGGGCACTTGCTGCCAAGTGACCTGAGTTTGATTACTGGGACTCATATAGTGGAAAGAGAGAATTGACTCTTGACATTTGTCCTCTGACTGCCACATACATGCTGTTGCATACATGCATCGGAATATAAATAGGTGCAGCGGATAAAATAAAATACTCTTTTAAGCCAGATGTGGTGGCACATGCATTTGATCTCACTTGGGAGACAGAGGCAGGCTGATCTCTGTGAATTCAAGGCCAGCCTGGTCTACATAGCAAATTCCAAGCCAGCTGGGGGTACAGGCAGACCCTGTCTCAAAAAGACCAAAAATAAATAAATAAATAGATAGATAGATAGATAGATAGATAGATAATACTCTTTTAAAAAAGCATAAAAACAAAATAAAATAAATGCTACATGGGTTTATGACCATAAAAACAGAAGCATAGGAACTAAGGTACCACACAAGCTGAGACTAAAGCAGACCAGCTAAATAACAGTTGGGGAAACTCACCAACGCTCAGACAGATCCCAGAAAAGCCCCCGAAGATGTCAGTGGTGATGGGGACAGAAGCAGAACCACATCTTCATCTGCAGCAGCCTGAGAAGTTCCCTTAATCTTTAAGAAAGCTTGACTCAGGCTAATCCACAATTTGTGGCTTTGATACAGAAAAGAATGTCACGACTAGTCAAGATGAAGTAGAGTTGGGGTTTATTAAAAATAGAAAGATTAGCCAGGTGTGGTGGCACACACCTTTAATCCCAGCACTTGGGAGGCAGAGGCAGGCAGACTTCTGTGAGTTCAAGGTCAGCCTGGTCTACATAGCCAGTTTCAGGTCAGCTGGGGCTACAGGGAGACCCTGTCTCAAAAATGAAAGATCCAGGTGTGGTGTGATGGCACATGAGGCAGAGGCAGGTGGATCTCTGTGAGTTCGAGGCCAGTCTGGTCTACATAGAGAGTTCCAGGTCAGTCTTAGGGAAACAAAATGAGACCTTGTCTCAATAAAATAATAAAAACAAAAAACAAAACAAACCCTCAAGAGAAGAATAAAACTATTCCCAAAAGCATGGGTGTGGGCTTTTCAAAGAAGGGTCAAAACTTATTAAAAGACATTTTAAACTTTAAAAAAAAAATTATTTATTATTTTTATTTCACATGTATGTGTGTATTGCCTGCATGTAAGTAAGTGCACCCCTGTGGTACAATGCCTGCGGAGGTCAGAAGAGGCTGTCGGATCCCCGGGACTGGAGTTACAGACAGTCATTAGCTGCCATGTGGGTACTGGGATTCAAACCCAGGTTTCTACAAGAACAACCAGTGTTCTTAACCACTGGGCCATCTCTTCAACCCCTAAAAGACATTTTAAACACAGATTTTTTTTTTTTTAGTACTTTATTATTTTTATTTTATGTGTATGAGTGTATTGCCTACATGTATGTGAGTGCACCCGTGTCATGCAAAGCCTCGGAGGTCAGAAGAGGGCTTTGGATTCCCCTGGAACTGGAGTTAAGGATGGTTTGTAGCCACCATGTAGGTGCTGGGAATTTAACCTGGGTCCTCTGCAAGAGCAGTCAGTGCTCTTAACCCCTGAGCCATCTCTCCAGTCCCTAAACACAGATTTTTAAGCACAGGCAGGAGTGGGATCAAGAGAAAGACAGATGCTCAGGAAAGAAGAAGACACACCCAAGTGTGGGGTTTGTTTCTCAAGAGAGAGTTACAACTGAGTATCTTAGCATCAGTCACATATACCACTTTGGTGACTCTCAAGGTATATCTCAAGTGTTGCTAAGTAATCTTCCCCCCTTCTCTCTCTTTAAATTTTTTATTACATTTATTTATTGTATGGGTGTGTGGGTATGGGTGGGTGTATGTGTGTGTGTGTTTGTTGTGCACACTTGCCACAGTGTATGTGGAGAAAGTCAGAGAACAACCTGGGGGGAGTCACTTCTCTCCTTCCACCATGTAGGTCCCAAGGATTGAACTCACGTCATCAGGAGCAAGAGCCTTCACTCAAAGAGCCATCTCAGGGGCCCTCTTCCTCTTTTTGATAAGTGAGATTGTAGGGTAGCTCTGGAGGTGACTTGGATGGGAGTATAATCAGATGAGGTAAAACCAGGAACCATGAGTGTGGCATAAAGCATGTCCTTTTACTGTAATGGGGGTTTCTGATTATTTTCCTAGAAAATTGCAGATTTACACCTAGGAAGGGAGAAGGGCCTTAAGCAAATGTTATTTGTGTTGGAATTCTTGATTCTCAGCTCAGGGGAGGGGTTTCTTTCTCTTTTTATGTCCCCACGATGTTTCCTGTCCTTCTCTTCTGCCTCAGTTTGACCTCAGAGCCCTTGGTTTCCCCAAGCTTCCCTTCTGTTCCAGGCAGAGTCATGCCAGTGAAAACTCCAGGACAAGCCTTGTGATTCATCTTTGACTACCTCATGGGCCAATGGCCACACCCAAGCTGCACTAACAAACCAGTTGTGAAAGGCTGGGCTGGGTGGCCCTGGCTCTGTCAGGCAGTTCCCAGTAACTGTTTATAGTTGGAGGTCAGCAGGGCAGCATTATCACTCCAGTCATCCCCGCTTTATAGATGAGGAAGTTGCAATCAGAAGAGGAGGAAAGTTGCCCAAGGCCATCCCTGAGTCAGAGGAAGAGCAAAGACTTGAACTCAGGACACTGGGTTCGGGACATCAAGGATCCTGTACTACGAAGGGAAAGAAGCTGCTTTGGGGCTGGGTTAATTGGATTGGCAGCTTTATGGTCCTGTAAATCACTGGGACATGTTAGTGCCCACCTTCCCTCTAATCACCGTAAATCAGACATTGCTCCCTTTGGGGAAGCTGAGCCCCAGATGCCTGGAAGCGTGATGTTATAGATAACTGGTTTATGGCAGGGCAGGACTGGAGCTGGGGCTGGGAAATAAAGCTGAGAATGCTGAGATAGGTGGAGGTTGGAGGGGAGTAAAGAAGTAGGGGGGCAGTAGGGAAGAGACAGCTGTGGAGTTGGAGATGTCAGACACACACCCCCAGACTGCCTCCAGAGCCCTGCTCACCCTCTGAGGTGTCATAACTGGGATGTGTCCCCAGAAATCTCCTTCTTCCGAGGGGCTACTCTGTAGTGGGTCCACAACACACCTGCCTTCCCATACTCTGCCCCAATGCAATGGACTTTGAAGTAAATACAGAAGTCACTGATCAATAGCCAGTGTAAGCTATCAAATCTCCTCTGCTTCTCATCCCACTGGCCTGGGTGATAGGGACATCCTGAATCTAGCTTCGTTCCTCCTATGTTTTATTCTTAAAAGAGACTTTTTTTTTCAGCCCTACAAACACAAATCTACTTCCCAGATAAGGTTCTCTGGAAAAGAGAGTGGGATGCCAGAGCCCCAGGTTGGAGGTTAAATTCCAGGGCAGGGTAGACAATAAGACCCTAAACCTGATTAGGGATACCCTTCCCCCCAACCTGCTTCTCTGGAGGATCAAAGCTGCCTGTTTGGGCTGTGTGATCCTGGGCCAGAGCAGGGGAATCAACCAGACTCTAACAAGGGAGGAAGCTCCTTTGCCGGGATTGTTACCCCTCAGAGGTCCCCATTCCAGTTCAAAGGCAAGGGACAGGGTGGGGAGGGGGTAATGAGAATTTGGAAACGGATGGGGAAACGGCTGCACCACAAAATGGGGCTTCCTGTTGTGGAGGGGGTCCAGGTCCACTGCCTGAGTCTGTCGCTCTTCCAAAAGGAAAGCCCTCCAAGGTAACTTTGCTTTCCATGGACTCTTCTTACGACCCTGACTAATGGGGTTGATTCAGATCCTTGGTCTTTTCCCTTCTCATCTACTGGGCCAGGAGACCTCAATAGCACGCCCCCCATTGGTTATCTTAGTAAGTGCCTTTATAAACCATTTCTCTATTGTGCCTTCCCATCCTCCTTAATCCCTCCCAACCCTTCTACTGGAAGCCTTGCCAGCCCTCCACTCTCTACCCCTCCCCCCAAATCCCATCCCTGCCCCTCCAGTCATCACAAAAACACCAGCAACAGCAACTGTACTCACTATTGAAACAGGGATCTTTGGTTACCTTAGAAATAAGTTTGATTTGGGGTGTAGCTCCTTGTAGAGTGTTGCTTGGCTAGCATGAGAAAAAGAAAAAAGAAAAGGAGAAGGAGACTTCTTTTCGGTAAAAGGAAAAGGAGATGAGACCATCTGAGAGAGCCCCTCATCCAGTCATCTCTTCAACAAACAGCATGGGGTAGCCATCAATCCTCCTAACTCTCCCATCTGTCCGAGGCTATTCCCACCCCAAAGCAAGGCCATTCCAAGGATTCAGTTGGAGACCCCTGTGCAGTTGGCGCCAACGCGATAGAAGACTGGGGCAGTCACCCTTGTGGGTCAGACACTTCAGGATGTCCTTTCCCTGTTCCCAGATCAGGGACCAGGAATAGGATGGGTCATAGGTGAGGAGGGTGAGACTTCTGAGCTCAGAAGATGCGGAGTGGGTGAGGGGTCCTTTCGCATCAAACAGAAAGTGGCTGGCCGGAGCCTGGACTAGGGGGAGTGGGGGGGAGGAGGATTCTTTGAGACCTGAGACTGGACTAGGGGAGGGGAGGCTCCGCCAGGAGGAGGAGCCGCCTCCACGTCCTGCTGTCGGGTCTCCCTCCGGTGGCGGCTAGACTATAAAACCCCAACCGGCATGATCGTGACACCATCTGTGGCTTCTTTGGTGCGCGACCCCCGGCAGGGCAGCGTCTTGGTTTTGGAGCTCGATGCAGCGGCTTCTTGTTCTGCTAGCCCTGGCCGAGGCCGTGACCTTGGCTTACGCAGATGACTCTACCGAAGGTACCCTCGGGTGACCCTGATCGTCCCCATCCTCGCGCCCCTGCCTAGGCTCGTTTGCGGACCGCCTGTGCGCGCCAGCTGAGCGTGGGTTAGGGTTGCATGCGCGCAGGGGGCGGTGGGGGTGGCTGTGCGCTAGCGTGTGCACCCACGATGTCTGCACTCGCTGCGGGGCTGCGGAGTATGCTAGTGGCGGGATGGGCATGTGATCGGTGAAAAGGATGCTTCTCCGACCCGCCTCGATGCACGGTCACTTTGATCCTCCTGGGTCTGTCCGTGGGTGACCGTCTGACCTGGAGGGACTCAGAGCTGGTGGCTGCCCCACCTCCCTCCCGGAACAAGCGCAGCAACTTGGATGTATTGGGGTCCTGGCAATCCCCTCTTCCCACCATGGGTTCCTTGCCCTGGAGCTGCAAGCTCCTTTCTCCCCTGCCCCCAGCGCTGGATTGGGAGCCTGGCGGGGGGCCATCCCGAGACCCGAGTCCCTGGACTAGCCGGTCTTTCCGGACAGGGTGATTTTCGTTTAAAGATTAATGGTGAGTCCGAGCTCTTAATTATTCGTCTAGGTGGGAGGTGGCGGGAGAGGTGTGTTAATATTTGATAAGGAACTAAAGGCGATTCTAGCGGCTGGCCGCTTCTCCACTAACCCAAAGCCCTTCACAGGAAGATCTCATTTGCTAGCCTACAGCGAAACCATCCTCTCCGATGGTTTTTTGGTCTATCTGGACCAAACCCCTCCGGAGTTAGGTGCCCGGTCTTTGGAGTGGAGCAATGGGTGAGGGTGCCCTCAGCGGCAGAGTGGGAAAGAGAGCTCCTTGTTGCTGGCCGCTTGGAGGGCAAGAGACATCTTTACAGCAGCTCCTAGGCACCATCCCAGGGGAGGAAGAAAGAGCAACAGATATTTGGATCTGTGATTTCAAGTCCAGCCTGGTCTACATAGTGAGTTCCAGGCCAGCTGAGGCTACAGGGAGACCCTGCTTCAAAAAAGACCAATAATAATAATAATAATAATAATAATAATAATAATAATAAGGCTAGGCATTTGAAACCTACTAAGCTTTGGGGCTTATTCAAAAGAAAAATGCTTTTTGAAATTAATGGGCTCCTTGTAGTTGTTGGGCCTTGGGTAAGTCACTTAAGCTGTTTTGTCATTTGCAAGGCAGGGCTAGTAATTCTGCCCACGGGTGTTGTTTTAAGGATAGTGCATGTGAGTGATTAGGCATTGCCTTCTACCTCCTGGCACATGCAAATAATAGTTTGGAGGCTCTGCCACTGGCCTGGGGGCCATAGGAGTGAGAGAGTCCTATTCACTTGACCCCCCTCACACAGACCACTCCCTGTTTAGTGCCAGGGCTTTCTGATTGGGACCCACCTTCCTTCAGCCATCACATATGTAGCAGGGGTTAGGTTGCAGGAAATCTCCAGAGTATCTGTTCTCAGTGAGAGGAAAGAGGAGAGGTATCTGCCTGGTCAGAGCCCCAGACCCCAAGGCCAGGAGGTGTCCAGACTTTGCCCAGAACACACTTGGGTTTTGCTGAGCTAGTTGCAGGATTCTTCCCCTTTCTCTTAGAGTGAGAGGGTGGGGCGAGCAAGGTCCATTAAGGAGAACTTCAGTAATCTCTGAAGGACCTCTGAGCCTGGAGCAAAAACAAATCTTTCCTCCCTTAAAAGGGAAGGGGGGAACATGATGGAGGACAGAGGCAGGGTGAATGACAGTGCTTTGTAGTTCTCTAAGTCAGTCTCTGGTCAGGAGCTCAATAGGACACAGAGCTGGGAGCCTCTCTCCATCCCACACTCTCTTTCCTGGAAGTGATCAGAGAGGCTGACTGGTAATTCTCTCCTCGGGGTGGCACCTCGAGCAAATATTGGGAGAGTGAGCCAACTAGTGTCCCTGCCACCTCCTGACTGACTGCAAGATGCAGCCCTGACCCCTGGCCTCCACCTCATCATCATTAGGTTTTTCTTGCGGCTGCTCCTGAAGAGGGTAGTTATATGAGTGTTCAACCCAATAGGTCAAAAGTCTCTATGATTAAGACAATGGATCAGAGGTCACCACTACAAACCAGGGAGCTGGGGCCAAAGCTAGGAAAGGGAAGATTCCTAAGAAAAGCCCAGCCTGAACCAGATGGGCCTCCTGGGAGGTGCTGAGGCTTCAAAGTTGGTATCCCAAAATAGCTTCTTCTTGGGTCTCTAGTGCCAAGGAGGGGCGGCTCTCCCAAGGCTCTGCCTGGTGGCCATTTCTTCCAGGTCCTCTAAGGCCGGACACTCAGGAAGATCCTAACAGGGATTCCTTTCTTTGCTGTGACACTTCAGTCCTTCATCTGGTCTGACCAGAGGCATCTGTCTCTGGAGGGCTCTGAGGCTCAGATAAGGGAATTCTTCTCTGCAAAGATGAAACAATAGAAAACCAGGTGTGGCCATGTAATCCCAGGACTGGTAAAGTGGAGACAGGATCAGAAGTTCAAAGTAATCCTTCACTATACAGGGAGTTGGAGACCACTCCAGAGGCAGAGGCAGGCAGATCTCTGTGAGTTTGAGGCCAGCCTCCTGGTCTCCATATCGAATCCAGGCCAGCTGTGACTATAGGGAGACCCTGTCTCAAAAAGATTAAAAAAAAAAAAAGTGCAGCAGCTCCCAGAGGGTGGGTCACTGTGGGGAAGACCCTGCATTCTGAACAAGGCCATGCTGACTAGACAGCAGGAATGCTGATCCAGAGCTGGGAAAATGGAAAATCCAAAGTGGCTGAGGAAGGCCAGTTTCCTGTGAGAGTTTAGTCTTCCAGCCTAGAACCTTCCCTGGCTATTAAAAGCCTGACTCTTGTGGCACACACCTTTAATCCCAACACTTGGGAGGCAGAGGCAAGCGGGTCTCTGTGAGTTCAAGGCCGGCCTGGTCTACATAGTGAGTTCCAGGACAGCTGGGGCTACAGAGAGACCCTGTCTCAAAAAGACCAAAGGAAAAAAAAAGAAAAGCCTGATTCAATACTTCTATCTCTACCCCAGGGATAGCTCCCTGCCCAGACCCAAGAGGAGATGGGGTTGGGGGTTGGGGAGATGACTGACACAAGAAGATAGAGAACCTACCAGCATGGTGGTGAACATATGTAACCCCAGCATTCGGGAGGTTGAAGGAGGAGGATCTTGAATCTGAGGCTAGCCTGAGCTACATAAGAATATATTATCTCAAGAAAACAAGGGCTGGGCATGTAGCTCAGTACTGGAACACTTGACCATCATGTGCAAATCCCTGGGTTTGATTCCTGGACCTGGAAGAAAAGCAAAACAAAACTATAAAACCCACAGAAGGGAGAGGTTGATGTATTTAGAGGCCTGAGGCTGAGCTGGTCCAGTCCTTTTCTTAGGAAATGTCCTCATCCCTGAATTCTTTCCAACTCACTCCATGTCTTTCCTCTCCTGACTCTTCTTAGCTTTAGCCATCTGCTCACTGACAGGAGGACTCCAGAGAGAGAGACAGTGGGCCAGGAAAGAGAGGACAAGTTGTCCATGCGATTTTACTGCACATAGGTTGTCTGGAATATTCTATACCATTCCTCTTGTTTTTTTAAATTAATGAAAAAAACTTTAAAAATATTTTATTATTTTTATGTATATGAGTGTAAAACCTGCATGTATGTAAGTGCACCCATGTCATGCAATGCCTGCAGAGTCAAAAGAGGGTGTCCGATCCCTGGAACTGGAGTTACAGATGGTTGTTAGCTGCTATGTGGCTGTTGGGAACCAAACCTGAGTCCTCTGCAAGAGAAGCTAGTGCTTTGAGCCACTGAGCTGCCTTTCCAGCACCCCTCCCCCACCAGCCTTTTTTGTTTGTTTGTTTGTTTGTTTGTTTTTGAGACAGGGTCTCACTATGCAGCTCTGTGGTGCCTGGAACTTGCTATGTAGACCAGGCTGACCTTGAGCTGAGAGTGCTGGGATTGAAGGCATGTGTCACCACACCCAGTGTTGTACCATCCCTTTTTGATCCTCCCCACAGTTTTATGAACTGAGTGTGTTAGCGCCATTTTACAGATGATAAAACTGAAGCTCAGAGAGAATAAGAGACTGCCCCTAAACCAGGACTCCAAAGTGGCTCAGCCAGAATTTGACTTTGGATGAAACGCTTTGTTTGCCCTGCAGATGCAAACTTGTTTTCTTTCTCTTCTTTCTTTCTTTTTTCATAGACCTTATTTTTAGAGCATTTTCAGTTTTACAGAACAAGTGGAGCAGAACACATAGAGGGTGCCCACATGTCCCGTGTGTGTCTCTGCACAGATTCTCTTGTTATCAGTTTGCGTTGGTGTGGTACATTTGCAGTACTGCCCTTCTTCAAGGATGCTGGCTCTTCTGTCTTCACAGTTTAGCCTAGGGTGGGTCTTAATGGGTGAGAGGGGCATTTGGGAGGGACTGCCCACCCTCCATGGACTACATTGGCTCCCTGGAAGGCAGCCCAGCTGGAAGGTAGCCTGGCTAAACCCACTCCATTGTTCCAGAAAGAGTTCTAATCCTTCCCTATCAACAGAGCCTCCTCCTTGGTTAGGGGCAGGATGCAGGAGGGAGAAGAGGCTGTGGACTGGGACAGAGCTGAGCAGCCTCAGTGATCCCCGAGGATTAGCACCCTTGGTAAGATGAACAGATGAGCTGACATTGCTATGAGTATTAAGTCTCCTTCCCCAGGGCTCAGGCTCACATCCCAGAAACCCTCCATATTAATCCGAGAGGGCTTCAACCCCAGGGTTGTTCCCAGGCCCTGATCCACAAAGCTCTGTGCAGGGTTCACATACACACTCCTTAGTTCTTTCTCTCTCTGTTCCAGAGCCACACTGGTGCTATGAAATTCAAGCTACAGAATTGAACAACAATTGCAAGGGTGAGTACACCAGTGCTGGGGACCCTCTATGGAGCATGAGGGTGGCAGTGCCTCTCCTGCCACTTAGCAGCACCTACACACACACACACACACACACACTTCTGGTGCTCAGTGAATAAGGACATAGAATGATCGTAGACTGACATTTTCACTGCTACAGTGATATGCAATCTGATCTCTTCCTGTCATGAGGGCAAGAGGACACTGGGACTAAATAATTAGCATCCACGTTAAAGAGATAGGCACATTTTGCTCTTTCTTCCAACATAGTGGAGAGTTGGTTCTCTTTAGTGAGGCCTTTGCAGGTGGAGCTGGGAGATGTTCTTGGTACGCTTACTGTTTTAGTGCTGGGGATGGAATTCAGAGCCTCACACCCTGTTGCCTTTTTATACCTTTAAATTCAAATGTTGATCCCGGTACTTCCTGCCTTGCTGTATTAAGGGAGGTCTCTCTCTTGCCCTTGCACAGCTGAGTGGTGGAGCTGTCATGTCCAGTTTCATTTCATAACAGCACTTCCTGAGGGTCCCCCTCCATAGCTTCCAAAGCCCTCTGCCACTCAGCAACTTTGAAACTCCCCTCGTGCCCCTCCCCCACCATAAGTAGCTTAGTATTGAGATTCCCAATGAGAAAGCTAGAGCCCAGAGAGGGGTATGGCCAGTGTCATGGGATTGTTCTGACCCCAGAGCTCTCAGCCACCACTGGCAACCCTAGTTTCCCTCCATCATTTCCTCCAACTTCCAGCCCCCCGCCACATCAGAGCTAGACTCACTGGCCTGTCAGTGGGGAGGATGATGATGAAGGCCAGGGCAGAGTGAGTTTTAAGGCACATGCCCTGCTGTAGGGGCTCCCAACACTCCAAGACCTTGCCTGACCTCAGTGAGTAGACCTGCTCTTGACTCAGCCCTTCTCGCCCTGATCAGGGCCTGACCATTGGCCTGGAGACTGCCAGAAGACCCACCAGTCCCCCATCAACATCGTCACCACCACGGCAAGGCTGGACAAGAACCTGGGCCCCTTCTCCTTCTTTGGCTACAACAAGAAGGAAAAGAGGGTAGTCACAAACAATGGGCACTCAGGTGGGTTCCTGGTCAGCTGGATGGAAACCCCGGGCAGGGTTTCCTGTGCAGGGATGCTGAGTCACTGAGGACTGAGGGTGGGAGGGGCCATCAGGGAAGCTTCTGGAGAGGAGAACACTTATTTCATCAGAACAGTGGGGGTAGGGGAGAAGAACCTTCCAGGAAAGAGGGACCAACCTTTGTGAAGGCATAGAGGCATGAAACAGCTTGAGTGTTGGGGAATGGCAGGTGGGGGCAGTTATGCGTGGATGGAGGACACAGAGGGAAGTTGGGAGGAGTCAAGTAAGGTCTAGGCGAGGTCACCAGGGCTCAGGAGTTTGGACATTGCCCCGGGATGCCAGGGTGCCACAGAACGGGTCAAGGCAGAGGTGAGACCAGGGCAGAGCTGCATTTTGAGGTGTGTGTGTGTGTGTGTGTGTGTGTGTGTGTGTGTGTGTGTGTGAGAGAGAGGGAGACAGAGACGGGGAGAGAGCGCGGGAGAAAGAAA